AAAAAAAAAAAAAAAAAAAAGGTGCAAGGAAATAGAATTGTTTCCAAAAGGTCTGTTGGAGAAATGCTACAGTGAGCATGTGCTAGAGTCGCGTGCTGTCTGTGTGTGGTCTCGGTGGGCGTAAGGGATGTTCTCTTGCCTGGAATCTGTCCGCCACTGAGAGCAGCAGCCATGACACTGACGCCGACCCTTCAGTCCCTGCTTAGGAATTCCCAGAAGGCGGGGTTCTGCTTGATAAGTTGTCTTATGTTGAGGTATTTGTGTGTTAACATTCTCTGTATGAACTCAGCCATTTCCCACCACCTGCCTGTCATGAGCCAGTGTGTTCTTCTAAACCCGATAATAATATCTGCTCCGGAGCTCTGCTGAATATTACAGAGACCCCCAAGGGAAGACAGATTCATTGGAATATTCTTGCTCAGATTATTTTATTCATAGTAGTAGAATATTATTGGTATTACATGAATGCCTGTGGATACCTGGTGAGGCCTGAGAATTTTGTATTTCTAGTGTGTGATATAAAACAATGGCTTAAGATAAGAGGTTTGCTTTCTGCCAGGGTAGAAGTCCCAAGGCTGGCATTCCAGGGCTGGTGCAGTAGCTCTGTTAGCAAGAGAGCTCTCGATCCTTTTGTCTTTTGCCTCTTTAGCAGGTAGGCTGCTATCCTGCTGCTATCCTTAAGGCTGCCTCAAGGTTATTATTAGCTGCTAAAGCTCCAGCCATCTCCACCAAGTTCTTGGCAGCAGGGAGGGGAAAGAGGCAAGTGGGGGATGAGCATACACCACCTCCTAAACATGTTTCCTGGAAGCCCCCTCAATATTTTTTACTTCTGTATATTGGCTACTCTTGTTTGTAAGTGAGGTTTGTAAATGCAGTTTTATGCTGGGGAATTGCCATCCCTGACTATCAGGGTTTGGCTGTCAAGGAGGGGCCAGTGGACTTTGAGGAGGTAACTCTCCATTTCTGCCATACCTCTGGTCTGTATCCTTCTAACACATATTCACCAAATCATATGCTCTGTACGTTTTTTGACTTACATTTGTTATGAGGAGTAAAACTTAGATGAAATATTTATATGAATTCTTAGTAGGCTCTATAGAACATAAAATGGGTGACTTGGGGCACTGATTTTCAGTCCTAAGAGAAGCTACACCCCCAGTGATTAACAAAACATTTTCTGATGCCTGCTAGAGTAAATTGTATGAATAATCTATCTTCACATAAAATGTATGTGTGTACATATATGTAAATCACATGCCACAATATAGAGACAAAGGTGATTTATAATAAAATGTGTTCCTGTAAATGCCTAAGGACATGCACAATAAAAGAAAAAATTAGATATTTAGATTCTTATCTATGTTGGCCATAGATAAAAAACTGTTGCGAATATAGCAAATGCAGATCGGACATGTGTTACGTTGGTGACTCCGATATAGAGAATGGCATTATCGTGCTGCTACTCTGAAATGGTAAGCAGCTCTTATAAAGTTCCGAAGAAAACCAGGCACTGCCTTGCTTTGATTAACATGGTAACTGCATTCCTGAAAAAATCAGTGTATGTTAGAGTAGGCAAAAAAAAAAAAAAAAAAAAAGGAAGAACCTTCATGTGTATATGTTAAATAGAGCCTAGCTCAGATAATTGAGCAGGACAGGTCTTCATTTCGAGGTAATATCCTGCTTCTCTGGGTCCTTCACAGTGAGTCCCTTCCCAAATCCGTCATGGTGCCTCCCTCTCCAAAGTCATTGTATCACAGTTGCCCACGTGAGTTTCAGTGACTTCTGGGACAACTCTCTGCTTTAGAAGACTTACATTTTCACTATTTTTGTTGTTACACATGCCTGATACTAAGTGGTTTAGTTGGTTCTTTTTCACCTGTTTTCTTTGGTTATGTCACCTTGGCTGTTTCTGCTGAAGTTTTGCTATCTTGACGAGTTCGATCAGTCTTAATCTATGAAGGCTGACAACCAGCCTTCATGAGGAACAGTCAGCACTGCCCACAGAGGTCTCAAAATCAGGTCTTAGGAATCAAACATGTTCCATTCCAGCACGACTGAAAGTTTTAAGACCCTGGAAGGAAATTCCACAGGCTTCTGGTTGCTGGGGGCTTCCCGTGGTGGTCTGTCCCGCTCACCTCCTCCTCCTCCTCCTGCGGGTTCGCCTCTCAACCCTGCTTGTGTCTGTTCACAAGGCTCCCATTTGCTCCTCCTTTCTGTAGAAACCCAGTGAGGTCTTCAGACTCAGAAGTATCTGAGCACAGGGATCGTGGTGGTGGGGGCTGACTCGAGAAGCCCCCTGAATCACAGCCTCACTACATTTTAGGCCACGTGTCTTTTCGATCGTCCGATGTTGTATTTTTTTCTGCCACATCTGGCATAGTCCTTTATAAATCTTAAGAATCACTTAGGGCGCCTGGGTGGCTCAGTTGGTTAAGCGACTGCCTTCGGCTCAGGTCATGATCCTGGAGTCCCTGGATCGAGTCCCGCATCGGGCTCCCTGCTCGGCAGGGAGTCTGCTTCTCCCTCTGACCCTCCCCCCTCTCATGTACTTTCTCGCTCTTTCAAATAAATAAATAAATCTTTAAAAAAAAAAAAAAGAATCACTTAAATGTAAAAAATACATAGTGCTTTTCTTTCCATATTCCATTTTTACCTTTGCTTATTTCTTTGGCTAGTCTGAATGCTTTCATTTCATTGTAATTTGGTAGTTAGCTGCCATAGTATAGAAATAATATTGAAATCTCTTTCAAAAAATGATGGCACTTTAATTAAAATTTCTTTAAGTTCATGAATCAAGTAAAATGGTACTTGAAAATTTTTATTCTGTGAGGTAAAATTGCTATCCAACTACATCAGAAAGATTAAGTACATAATTCTTTGCCAAGGGCTAGATAGTATTTTTTTAACTGAGGTTTTGAGATTCACTGTTAAAATTTTGCTCCACTGTGATTGTTTAATTCTAACAATACCTCAAGAGAAAATTATTACATTTAATTTTAATTTGTAGATAACTCAACAATGCAACTATATCAACTGACATATGCCATTTAAGGCAAAATACTATGTTTATTCATTAAAAATGGCATTTAGTGTCATGTATGAAAATGAACATTCTTTTAACTCGGTGTTTTACCACCTTTGGTCCTGTGGCATCACTGGAGAACTGAGGGATTTGTTTTAAATTTTATTTTGTTCTTTATAAAATATCCTTTGAGTAAAACTGCAGTTCATATTTGTATGTGAGTGTGAGTGCATCTGTGAGTGTGAGTGCGTGCGTGTGTGTGCATGCATCCACACGCTCCGAGCCCGGTACTGGGCTCCCGGCGGGGGTAGAGCTGCGACCCTTGGCTAATCGGCCCTCTGTTCTGTCGGAAGGTGAGCCAGGATGGGAAGTCGCTCCTTGACAAGCTCCAGCGGCCTTTGACTCCCGGCAGCTCCGATTCCCTGACGGCCTCCGCCAACTACTCCAAGGCCGTGCACCACGTCCTTGATGTCATCCACGAGGTGTTGCACCACCAGCGGCAGCTGGAAAACATCTGGCAGCACCGCAAGGTCCGGCTCCATCAGCGGCTGCAGCTCTGTGTGTTCCAGCAAGACGTGCAGCAGGTCAGTCTCGGGCCCGCTTTGCTGCCTGCGGATGGAGTCGGGACCGCGCACGCACGCGCGCTCGCGCGCACACGCAGCTGCTGTGCTTTCCACGAGCGACCGTGGGTCTGAGCGTGCACGCGCAGGTTCCTGCCAGCCGCTGGCTCGCATCGGCAGGACACGTGAGGCGGTGCGGGGCCTCCGCCGGAGACTCTGAGGCTGTTCTTGGAACAGGGCATCCCCACTTACATTTATCCAGAGGTGCTTCTACCCGGTTTTGTTACGGTTCAGCATCTGTCCGTCCTCTGGTCACTGAAGCAGTAAGCTAACGGCGCTTCATGAGATGGTGCGGTCTGTGATACACAGTAGGTGCTTAGCAGGTACTAGACTGGTCAACAGAAAGTGGAGTTTTATGACTTAATTTCTAAGCGGTTTTCATCTTGTTATTGTTTATGCCCCTATTACGGGGTAGAGAAGATTGGCCTGCTGCCAGGGTGTTGAGGATTAAAGCTATGGTAGCATGTAAAACATGATACAGCTTTAGTGATAAACAAGATAACAGTTGTGTCCTTGCCCTAAAATAGAGGGAAACACGGGTGTGGACGAGGTGTGAACGCTGGGGCTGAGGAGATCCTGGGGTATGTGTGCAAGGAAGCCGTCCCGGTGATAGGTCTGGAACAACACCTCTCTCTTCCCTGAGTGCCCAGGAGCCCAGGAGCACTGCTCAGACCTGTGTGGCTTCAGATTTCACTCTCCCCATGTGTCATCCGAAGGCCAGTGGGCTTTCCTGCTTAGGGGGCTGAGACTGTGGAGAGTCGTGCTGTGTTCCGATGAACACAGAGATTCTCTATATTTTATTGACCATCATTTTTCACGTAATGTGAGTCTGGTGAGTTCAGAATACTTTAAATTGCTCTATAATTTTTAATTTTCACATACAATGCTTTGATTCTACTTATGGGTATTGAATCCTCTGAAGATTGCATACACCAAGTACCTCAGAAACGATCATTTTGATGTTTTCATGCCTCTTTCCAATGCTATTTTAATCAAAGAGGATAATTGCCAGGGAAAGAATGTAGAGCAGGGAGTGAACGGGGGGGAGTCAATGTCAGGGAGTTATTTGTGGGAAAAGAGGTGCTGTGGTTGAAAGCATGACTATCAGCTTCCCCTGATTGTCTAAAAACTTCCACAAACCACGAAATGTTAATAGTTTCAGTGCAATTATTAAAGGATTTTCCCACTCACCTCCCGTCCCTTGGATCAAGTGTTCATTACACACCCATGGACCAGCACGCCCTCTAGACTTGTGTCTGAAGCAACAGCAGGGGCTCCCCTCCCCCGTCGCCCCAACTCTGAGGGCTCCATGGGGCACCAGGCACATGAGAATAAGCCACTGGGCAGTTTATGGCAGGGGGAGGCACCTTTGGGAATAGGCTGAGGAGTCTAGCCATCTGATTTGGCACCAAGTACTTAATGCCCTTGAATTTGAAAACAGCAAACATTACATTTTATATGTAGAAAGGTAATTATGATAATTATGAGACCAGTTCTTTAAGCTAGATTTTTTCTTCTTCTCAAACATCAGTAGGTTGGGTTGGATGTTAGCAGGAGAAAGCATTTTGCAATACACATAATGCATATATGGTCCTATTAGCATTCCATAGAAAATAGATAATTGCTCTTTAAGGGAAGCGTTCTTTTGATTAAATGATCTGGAATGGTCTGGACTTGTTATGCAAACAGGAAATTGTTGTGTAGGCTTGACTTGTGGAGCAAGAACTGAAGTTGATAAGATTATGCAAAGCAAGTGCTTTACCTCGAAGGAATCCATAGGATGTCAGAACCAAAAACGTGTTTCTGAAACTCAAGCAATTATAACACGTGGAAATTTTTGCTATATTGAGCATAGACTAGGAGAGGTAAGCTGAGAATAAATGGAAAAAAATAGTAGTCCTTTAGAAAGACATTGTCAGCAGAAGGTAAATTTGTAAAGATGAACACAAAATCCACAAAAAATATAAGTCAACTAGATACCACAAGTGGTTTTTGCTTGGTTGTTTTGAGTGATGAAAAAGCATCCGTAAATACTGCTGAGAAAAAAGAAAAGCAACCAACTGCACAATAGGTATGGAATGATGACATTTTTTTATGGAAACAACCCACCCAAAGAGTACATGCTTGTCTATGGAAAAATCTTGGAAAGAATAGAAGACAGAGTGTCAGCAGCACGTTTTCCAGGAAGAATGGCATGATCTTTGAAACATGAATAATTTTGGTTTAGTGTTTAATCTTTTTTTTCCACAAGCAAAGGGGGTGCTATGATTTCTATATGGAAGACGCTGAGGTGGACGGGCAGGTGAGGCCACAGCTGCGGGGGGCCACTTGCCACTGGAGGAGTGGGCTGGCACGACTGACTCAGGGGCCCACGCTACCTGCTGACAAGTAGAAACCTTCGTCCTTGTTCACTGGAAAATAAAATTAATACTCTGCCGCATTTTTTTTTTTAGGATTTTATTTATTCATTTGACAGAGAGAGACACAGTGAGAGAGGGAACACAAGCAGGGGGAGGGGGAGAGGGAGAAGCAGGTCTCCCGCAGAGCAGGGAGCCCGATGTGGGGCTCGATCCCAGGACCCTGGGATCACGACCTGAGCCGAAGGCAGACGCTTAATGACTGAGCCACCCAGGCGCCCTCTGCCACATTTCTTGATGATGGAGTAATAGATGTATTCCCATTGCCTTGTGTTGACTGTTAGAGCAGCCGTGCGTGGATGTTTGGTCGTATTACCGCTGAGCAGTGGTCTTCAGTTGAGGTAGGCTGAAGTTTGCTCTAACAGCATCAGTTTGGCTGTACTTGTTCGAGAGGGGTGGTATGTGTGCAAGTAGGCATGGTGGTATGCTCGCAGACGCATTTTCCTGCTCACTGGTTCAGTCTGCCTCTCACACTGGTGCCATTTAGTTACTCCAACACGTTGGGCAAGGTGAAGGGCCCCAGAATTCCCTTTCCTGAAGCAGGCTGCCTTCCCCAAAGAAGCCCGTAAGGCAGGAAGATCTCCCAAGAAAGCCTCTTGCCCCCACCCCCAGCCCGGTCGCCCTTCGTGTGTATGAGTGTCACCCCTGCTGAGTTATTTCTTGGAAGAACTCCTTCCAGTTGATGTGGGGCCATTAACTAATATTCTGAGAAAACAGTAAAACAAATCCAGTATCCTCTAGATTCTTCTCATCCACATTTCATTCCTTTTTTTTTTTTCCCCAAAGTCGCTTACTCACATGTGTGACACTCAAGAGATCCAGAGGTAACTGTGTTGCATATGGCAAAGCTCCTTTTCTCAAGGAATTATAATCTAGTAAAAGATCATTTGATAGTCTAATAAATTATACCATAACATGCTCAGATTTAGTGTTTAATGTCTTTGGTTATTGTCAGGTGTAATTGCGCTAAGGCGTGAATGTGAGTCACGCCTCTGAAGGGGTTAGCTGGAGCGAGGAAGTACAACGAGCTGCCCTCTTCCATGTTATCTGCCTACCTTGTACTTGCATTTTAAGGGTGAATATCTATGCCTTAATGATGTGTGCAAACATGGGGGCTCCAGAAAGCTTTGTCCGTGTCCGTCTCAAACGTCAAGGGTCTGGTATACAGGGAAAATGAAGAGACCTTCATTTTAGAGGCGCGAGTCACAGTTTGAGCTGCTCTTTGAAGGATGGGTAGAAAGTCAGCAGGTTGAGGATTGGGCAACGGGAACTGCAGTGAGATTCGAGACACAGAAGGGCAGGGCCTGTCCAAAGAGCTGCAGGCAGCACGGCGTAGGCTGGATGGAGAGGTGTGGAGGTGTGAGATGGGCTAGGTGCTGGAAAGGTGACCTCATGATGAAAGCTTGCAACTTGTTTCTGTGAGCATGGGGATGCCATTGAAGAGACACAGTGGAACTTGCCTGAGTGCTGCAAATGGGTGCCAGGGCCTGGGGTGGCTTGTGAGTGGCCGCGAGGCTTATGTGAGGAACACGTAGATGGCATTCTGCTCATCTTGGTGCTTCAGGTGCTTATTACCGTGTATGTTTCTCTCCTCTTACTCTCACAGCCAGCCTGTTGAGCCAATGCTTTCCCCCTGCACTATGCTGAGTTCACACCAGGCAGGGCCTGTGCCGTGTGCATTTTGACTCGATGCTCTGGGCAGTGGGGGGTGGAGGACAGGATCCTGCATGTGTTAGAAAGCTTGCCCTGGTTGCAGTGTGGTGAGGGAGTTGGAGGGAGCGAGACTCCCAGCTGAGACAGGCTAAGTCCTATTGTGGACGTCCGTGCATGTCGTGGAGGAGTCTTGGAGAACAGAAGCGTGAGGTCCGTGGGGCAGTGGTCTGTATTTTATTCACTGCTGTTTCCCAAGTGTCTGGGATTCAGTTCAGTATTTGTAAAATGAGTGAATGAATGGATAGATGAAGAAATTTAAGGAATTAGCCAGTTTTGCTGATTAAAGATTCTTTTGGGTTAAAAGTTTCTTCATTTATTCTGGAAGGGGGTAGGTTGGCCTTATATTGGAAACAAGTGATCTAACTAGGAGATCTGCTTGAAGGAATGGGAGTTTTGCTTGATGTTGGGGATTCAGGAGTGGCGGGGAAAGGAAGGGATAATTTCAGTGCATGGGAATTATGCAAATGTGGCGAGGTCTCTAGTACAGATTTTAGCCACCTGAATGCAAAGTGAGGGTCTTAAATGCAGCAGGGGGAGGGAAGTCAGGATATGCCATAAAGGCAAAGAAAGAGGTTTCAAGTGCCCAGAGAAGCTATTTTATAGGTTTGCCTTGGGTCCTACTAGGCTGCTCTCCTTATGCCAGTTAAAGCTGTCTCATTGTGATGCTTGACTTAGGGGTTCTTGTTTGGTATCACCTACAGTGGACCTAACTTTTAAGTGAAGGTTTTGAACCTCATTGTCCTTTGCTCATTCATTTAAGTCAGGAGGGTGGGTTTTTCTCGTCCCACTCACCAGAATAATTATATAGCCTTAGCTACTTAACATTTTCTTCTG